ACACACACACACACACACACACACACACACACACACACACACACACAGAGAGAGGGAGAAGCACTTACAGACACTTGCAAAACATTCAACCCTGTCTCTCAATCAGTCAAACACACATTAAACATCTCAAGTAACTCCAATCTACGAGACCTACATATTTTTTACAATTCTACTCCCCTTTGACAAAAGACCACACATTTGTAGCCGACAGTTTTCCACGTCTCAGAAATCCACCTTTACAGAGCGGCGATCACTGTCAAACTAGGCTCCTGTAGTGGGCTTTAACTGAAGACCCGCCCCCTTCCTCTCTTTCTTTTCCAGATGACTAGAGAAACGGGTGTTTGGCAGTGAGGAAGGACGGAAGAGGGGCACAAAAGGGAGGGTGGGAAACCTCGCTCTGCCGAGTCCCCCGGCCTCTCAATGAGTCCTCTGACCCGGCTCTGTGCCGTATAGGGCAGAATTTACATACCAATATGTGAATCCCAGAAACAGACAGAATGTAATTCATGCATAGGCACCGGAACGTGGACAGGCTCCTGGAGCCTGGAGCCTCAAGAGCATCGCCATCAGGGTGAGCTGCTTTTGTGCGAACACACATGCGACGAAGCAGGAGGTAAACAGCGAGCTGTGATGTGTCGTCATTATCTTAAGCCGCTCCGGCAAAAGAGGCTTAAAGACACAGACGATTCACAACAGATCTACGCCTTCACAGCAAATATCGTATCGCACCTTTCCTGCACTGGTGCGATGGGAACTATGAAGTGACACAACTCTCGGGCCCCTAGAGGGTAAACAATTACGTCATTAGTAGTAGCAAGATCTGGTTCCCTCTTTGCCCCGGTTGTCTTTGGTCCAAATGGTTTAGCGTTACACCTACATCCTGTCTCTGTCTGGCTCTGCAGTGCACCAAAAAACCCATGACGGCACACACTCTCGTATTCGCAGACGGAGGAGTTTTCCTCCCGTTACTAATGTGATTAGACGCCGTATGGAGCTACAGCAGGCACACTTCAGGGACAGGTATTGAACTACTTGTGTGGGGAAGGTGAGGGGTGCAGAGCTTTCCCACACATCCTCTGCAGCCCCTGTTACCTTCGTTCCAGCCTCCTCTTCTACCTCTCCTCCCTCTGCACAGCTTGAGCTTTGCTGCTGGAGGAGCCTTGAATGCAGAAGGAAAGACCGTCTCAGCATCTCGGCTCCGCCATCTGGACCAGAGCTGATATTTACGGGACAAATGGGCACCGGCCTCTCAAAAACATTCACAGAGAGGACGTATTTTAGTACCTTTCGCAATATGCACACACAAGCAGTGTGTGAGCACTTAAGTCTGCTACGTGGAGAGGGGTGAATGTGTAATCCAGACCAAGAGGAGGTGGGATTAACCACGGAACCTTTGACCGGCTTCTCTTTGGAATCAGAAGAGATTAGTGAGTGCGTCAGCCCATCTGACACACACACACACACACACACACACACACACACACACACGTCAAAAACACTATTTAAGTGACATATTTGAATGATACCCAGATTAGACACCTTCTGTTCTCTACAGCCAGTATTGGTGCCAGTATCCCTTCCTGACCGCGATTCTCCAAAACAAACACCGTAAACATGTCGTGTCACAATAATACTGAGGAGTGGCCAACACATGGTACCCATGGATTACACTACGATTATAATCTTAATCTTTAGTTTAACCGTCTCTGATAGAATAGCATGTAGTCTGCTGTGTTACTGCTGCCTCTTCAAACTAATCTAAATTTGAACAGTTTGGGAATTAAGACAAAACCATGTCGGTAAATATCCGCTTATGTGACGATATAAAGCGAATCAGGCGGTGGCGTGCTTCTTACCGTGTGGCGAACATGGCTCTGAGGGAGGAAAAGGTGGCGGCGTCCTCCTTCAGGGCTTTGAGCTCGTTCCTCAGTTTCATCATGGTCTCCGTTACCATGGCCTTTTCGTTCTCGTACTTGCTCTTCAGATTGGCCAGAGCGACTTCTGCTGTCTGTGGGTGGACGAGAAGAACAAAAGGGGTCAGAGCAGCTGGAAGGCGTCGGGTGTGTGTGTGTGTGTGTGTGTGTGTGTGTGGGGGGGGGGGGG